GGGGACGACAAAAAGGCGCGCAGTCCCGGATTCGAATTTGAAATTTGAATTCCCGCAAGCGACAGGGGGGCCGTGGGCGTCCCTTGCGGCTGACGGACGCAACGTTCCTCGACCGAAGCGTTCGGGTGCGTGGTGGCGGCTGCGTGACGGCGGCCATGCGAAATGTACATGTATGCGTCCCAAGCAGCAGACACGCCGTCACCATTGGTCGTCACCGTTGTCGTCTTCGCAGGCGCACCTTCGCCGTCGACGTGTACACCGTGCACTCCTGTCGGCAGTCCTCGGGATCGCTGTTGTGTGCCCGTGCAGATGTGGATTCTTCGTTACTTCGCGCCCGAGCCCTCCACGGTTGAAGTTGTCGGCAATGGACATGAATGGGAGGTGGGGCGTGACACACTCAGCAAGACGGAGCGGACGACGGTGGTAGCTGTCGTCAACGCCATCCTCATCCGCTGTCAGGTGCAGAGGACCGAGGGGAGGATGAAAGTGGCCATTCTCGCACGGAGGAAGAAGACGCTGCCGTCCTTGAATGTGGAGGAAGATGACAGTGCTGCCATTTGCGACGCCATACTGCACGTCTGCTACGCCATGGGGTGTGGAGGGTTTCCCAGAGCGCCACCCAGGTGGTGGATGAAGCGACGAACAGGGGTGACGTGAGAGGATCTGTGGCATTGCGACGACGCGACGACGGACTACTTCAAGGACAAGCTGCGCATGTCGCCACGTGTGTTCCGAGATAGAAGAAACTCTGTCTCGCTTCCTTGAACGGCGTGTGCTGCAAACGCCCGATCGCAGTTATCGACAAAATCACCGTAACTTATTCTGTCGCGGAAAACACTGCGCAATCGGGACGGCGGGGGCCGCCTGAAATATTCGAATCTGCTGGCCGTTGGGCGCCTTCCCGCTCGGAGCCAAGGGCAGCGACGCAAGACGGCCCCTTTTCGACGTCGCGGAGGCCGGCAGACCGCCAACGACGACCGTTGGTGGCCAGTTCCATGGCGCCGACCGTTGCCGACCGAAGATGTCCGTCCAAGGCCTCCAGGAACAGCAAAATGTCGTCGAGAGGGCTGCTGTCGACGCCCCGATTCTTCCGGATGCTTTACCTCCGAGGGACCTCGGGAGGTCCCTTGGGGAACGCGTCGGAATGGCTGTAGCCCGAGGAATCCCCGAGGATTTGTTTTCACATTTTTTTTTCAATTTGTTCCCCGAGGATAAGTGGATAAGTGGAACGATCAACCCGAGGAATCCTTGAGGATTTGTTTTCACATTTTTTTTTCAATTTGTTCCCCGAGGATAAGTGGATAAGTGGAACGATCATTTCCTCAGGGGATTTACGCGCCCGAGGAGTGTTGAACGAGCCCCTTAATGGGCCCGGCTTCAATATCTAGTTAGGATCTAAGAATTTAGCACGCACTTGGACATAATTTTAGAGTTAATTTGTATCTAAGAATTTAGCACGCTCTTGGAAGTAATTTTAGGGTTGATTTGTAAATTTTCGTGAATTTCCTTGTGCATTCTCGAGATTTGAGGTATACACCTCATAGTTATTTGCCAATAGAGTTTCAATTTTAGAAACATGCTGGTGATTCCTCTGAGGGACACTGGACCCCGTTTCCAGGACCCTAAGCTGAGTAATGACCTCAGCAAGTTTGTACCGGTTGAGATGTAGGGGTGTGTTCCCAGGCCCGGTGGTCTCATTTTTGGAATGAAAAGTACTATGTTTCTCCCAAAAAAAAAAAAAAAAAAAAAAAAAAGCATTTCAACACCGCCCCCCCAAGACCGCGATTACTCTACAGACCGGTCGGGGCATTGGAACAAAACAAAAAGGGACCACGACGGCGACCACAACCGGACCTGCTTTTGAGGCCTCTTCTACGTCGTCCACCCTCCCAACTATCCTCCCACCCAACGGCCGACCGATCGCTGCACAACGACTGTTTGTTCTTAGGTCCAAACGACGAGGTTATAGCGCAGCCTACGGCCTACGGACTGGACCCCAGCAAGTTTGCAGTGACCGGTACCGGCCATGACGACTAGCGGTAGTACCTGGACTACTGGGTAGTACTCAGCCGTTGCAGGTGCGTACCGATTTGAACGCAGGTCTTAGTGTGCACACGTGGATTCGAATTCGAAAACACATTTACGACGGACACGTGGATCTCTTATTTTCTCCATACAAGCTATCTTTCCTGCCCTGCATGCAGCCAAAATGGGGTTGCGTTGTGTTCGTGGGAAGACGGTCGTTCTTTTTCTCCTCTGAGCGAGTGAGGGGGAGGTTGGCACATCACCACGTGCCACGTGGCCACATTCCCCGACCCCTTACAACTCTTTTTACCTTTCGTTCTTTTTCTTGCATTCTTCTCTTTCTCTTGTTCTCGCTTCTTTTCTCTTGTTGAGCAAGAGAAAATGAGAGCCTCAGGATGCTGGCGTGTGTCATGGCCAACTTCCAACTTCAGTGTCACGTGGAGAAAATGAGAGGATGCTGGATTGTGACGCTCCACAACCCCCTATCACTTCACAATTTCTTTTTTGCCTTTTGTTTGTGCTTCTGCTTCTTCTTATCTTCCTTCTCGTCGTTCTCCGGGTGCGATGGTGCCACGTGGTGTCGCAGTACAATCCCCCCCCCTGCCACCCCTCTGGATCTCTCTCAGAAACACACGTGCGCCAACATGTGCATGATTGCTTTCGTGAACAAACGGGCGCGATTAACTGCATGGGGAGGAAGAAAAGATGAAGATGACGAAGGACGGTGGAAGGGAGGAGGGGGTGACACGTGGCACCATTGATTGGAAGCGGATCCCTCGCACCTCCCCTCTCTCACACGCGCACACGCGCGCGCAGGCGTACTACAGGCGGAACTCGACAAAGACGAAGTTGTACTAACTCAGGTGGGGTGTAAGTGGGTGCCGAGTGCAATGGCACTTCGGGGCGTCAATAGACGGGCCCCACTCTACCCCTCTCCCTCTTACTCACACTCGCACACGCGCGTCCGTACATACTGGGGGGGGAGGGTGGGGGGAAGGGGGGGTTTCGAATCACGTGTTGCCATAGGATATCGCCTGTCTTTCTCTGTGTTCCCTCAGCTTCCCCTTGGTTACCCAGACAGTACGGGATGCTACTACTGCTAATGCTGCAGACTTAGGCCGCCCGAAAGTCGTATATATAACATATAGAAGCTCGCTCCATCATTCTTCGAATGGGGGACAATGACAAAAAAAAGTGGCGTCCGTCTTTTTCGACCTTCTGGGAGAAGATCCACCTCCCATTTCACACGGTTGGTGAGTACTGCAGCTAGGTTTAATGAGATCTCAGCTGATGCACAAAGTAAAGACCGAGCAAACGTAATGTCGAGGGGAAAGCACAAAAGAGAGAACGAAAAAGGAAAGGAACTAAGCTGATTACGATCCAAGCACAGACAACATAGGACAAATATCAAATGGATTGTTGCTCAACGAATCCCTTTTTTTTTCTTCTTTTTCTTTCTCTCCCCTCCCTTTTTCCCTCCTTTTCTTAATCCGGATTCGAACTTGAGTCTGGATTTCATCAGTTCACGGTTGTACCAGCTCAGCTCGGGCCCGTTGGGACGTTGGCTGCTCGTCGAATTCTTTTATTTAAAAAATAACCACGCTCGGTTCTTCTCTCAATTTCACTGCTCAACTAGGCTACCAGCCGGGCCGCCCGGGTCCCGGGTGGTCAACCCGTGCAAGGATCAGGGAAGGTCCCAACAAAAAAAAAAAAAAAAATCCAAAAAATCCGGAAAAAAACTATGTTATGCAGAAAAATAAACTGAACAACTTTTGCCTCAGGGTCACATCGCAATTCTTCACCGAATTTAAAATAAAAAATAAAATTTAAAAATGTTGTTTTATTTCTTTTTTTTTTGGCCTGGCCGGGCAAGTGACCCCGGGCCACTCTGGTAGCCTAGCTGCTCAACGACTTCACGCATCTTTTTTACATCTCTGATCCAATCAATCACTTTAAATTAACTTTTCAACAATTTGAAAGTAGACCATTGCCCAACTCGGTAGCGATCTGCTTAAGGTTCGCAGTAGTACAGGTGCTGCATGGCTGTCGTCAGCTCACGATGAGCTGAAGTTAACACCACCCTCAGCTAGCCCTTCGCTAAGAGAGAGCTAATGACACGTAAAGGGCTGCATATTACCTGCCTGCTGTTCTTCTTCTTGCTGCTTCCGGACCTTAAATTATAGTAAGAGCATACTCACATTAGGCCCTCAAACTCGCAAAATCACAAAATGGATCATACTTCTGTACTAGCCTCGCGGATGAAGGGTACACACATGCATGTAACTGCTGATAAACGGATCATAAATACGAACCCTCGTGGGTCCGATGATGATAGGGAGGGGATAACTATCCCACCTATCGGAGCGTGAATGCACTACCTTCCTCCCCACAAAACAACCCCACTCATTACATCTGCATCTGGCCTGAAAAGTGCCCTGAATACCGCTCTGATCGAACGCAACAGCCATCGTAGCCCATCACGCTTCCTTGGCCTGCTGCTCATCATCTAGACTATATAGGCACGTCTGCATGTCACATCTCGCTTCTCGCAAAAATGTCATCCACTCCAAAACATAACACGGGGTCATCATAGCCGCATTCCTTTCAAGTCAGAAGATGTAATGGCCGGGCATTATGTTCGGGAGGAAAAGGGGTAGTCCGCCCGAATGGTATTTTACTACTGGACTAAACATACGTCCCGTTTCCAGAAATACACACTCCGATCCGAATAACGCCCCTACGACGCGATTTGGGGCCAAGTTCTTCGTTTGCCATTTTCTTCGGAATCCCGCCATTATTAATAAATAAGAAATAAAGAGCATCTGGCGCAGAGGCTCCTGTCCTGAGCTCACCTTCCCTCCATCTCGAGTAAGCGCATGGACTCCTCTAGCTGAGCCAGTCTATCCACGACCACCCCCATCTGCGGTCGCCGCCTGGCACTGGTTCTAATACATTCCATTGCGAGATCAGTCACGCCACAAACGCTACTCCAGTCCAGGGGGCCAAGCGTTACCAGCCGTTGATCTGCAATCTCTCGGATCCTGTCGATTTGCATGGCAGCTTTCACGTTTGCCCTTCTGCGGACTGTCGCTCTTGCTGCCGTTGAGCTGTCGAGCAGCTTGTCGTCGTCGTCCTCTTCATCCTCGGAAGATATTACTTCTATTGCCCGGAGCTTTCGCTGGACCCAGTACGCCAGAGTTCGGGGACCTGACTCCATTAGTTCCTGCTCCGATTCCTCCGACTCCATCATCTCCACGGATCTCGCCTCCCCCTCTTTCCCCTCCGTCGCAACGTCCTCCGGCTGCTCCTCCTCCTCCTCCTTCCCCGAGGAGAACGAAGCCGATGTGGTTTTGGATGAGGTGCAAAAAGAGGAGGAGAGGGACAATGAAAGCATTGATCTAGCTTACAATCTGATTCCGGTAGCGCATGTCCCTGGGTTGTCGTCGGCCGGTCCGTCAGGCAGCCATGCCACCCACGTGTCGCCGGTAACTACTTCGACCCCTGTGAAGAGTCTGACCCCAACTTCGACATTCGGGAGAGTACTAATTCTTGGTGCCTCTGCAACCGTGTTGCGTCCTGAGGGTCAAGTACCGCGCGATCATCCTTCTTAGAACTTCTAGAAGGATGATGGCATTAACTTCGAAGGAAAAACACACACTCGATCGACAGAGGCCGAATGGGGGCACGCAATGATTTGGTATCGGGAGACTATACAGTCGTCGATCAAAGGGGGTTAGTGGGTCATGGTCCCATAGACGTCGCAGACGGCGAAGGGGAATTGGTGGGTCGTGAACGGTTCCCAAGGCTGAGTTCCTTGACTTTGCCAGGATGTCAGTCGTTGACAAAGTCAGTAGCGAAAATCAGGGCATTTTGAAAAATAATCCATCTATCGGATCGACTTCTGATAGTGTGTACCATTTCCTTCACGGCAATCGATAGTTGGAACTGGAGCCCTAACTTTTATGACTTTGATACAAGCCCTTCCAAGGACAAGGTAAACTGGAAGGTGCCACGTCTGGCGGTAGAGGGGAGGGGCACTGTGGTGAGGGGAGTGGACAGTGGCACCCGCTTGGTGGAGACGGTAGGCACGAGTAGCGGGCTCAGGACCAAAGATTACGGGGTACACAGATGGAACACACTGGAGAGCGCGGGGAGAAACAAGTCGGTCGAATGTCATGTAGGGGCACTGGTCCAGTCGAAAAGATGAACTCCGACGAAATCCGGACGTCAATGCACGAGAACTCGGTTGGCGGCTTGCGGGCGGTGGCTAGGAAAGATATGCTGGGATCTAGCACTCTGGTCGCCTCAATTGGAAGCGGTCCTTAGGGCAAAGTTCGTGCTTCAGTGGAGGGGGCTGGGGGGGAAGTAGAACCTGATAGGCGAGTTCAATCCATAAAGAAGTCGACCTTAGGCGGCTCATCTGGAATGGACATCCCACCCACCAAATGTCGAGTCCGTCGGAATATGTACTTCATTTGAAGATGGTCTTCCAACAAGGGTTACAAATGCGGAGGGAGGAACGTTGGTTGATGTGAAGGGGCGGTCAACAACATTGGAGATGGAATTGAGGGAAGTTGCACCCGATCTGCGAAAAATGTCAAGTAATCCACACTTCAATTGAAGTTGGTCTTCCGACAAGGGTTGGTGCTGCAGCGGGAGAACCTCCATCGATTGATGTTAGGGGGAGAGCAGCGACATTGGAGGGGGGCTCTAAGCACGATGCACCTGTCGAAGTCCACCGGAATCCAAACTTCAATTGGTCGTGGTCTTCTGGAGGGATTACTAAGACAACAGGAGAAACTCTTTCGGTTGATGTGGAGGGACAGGTAGCCGCATTGGAGAGGGAGTTGGGGGAAGGGGATGAATGAGATGAAAGGGATGGCAACATGAAAGGGGATGAAAGGGATGAAAGGGATGACAACCTGGAAGGGGATGAAGGGGATGAAGCTAATGAAGCCACATTGGAGGGGAACTCGGGGGAAGGGGATGAAGGGGATGAAGGGGATGAAGACGATGAAAGTATGAATGATTCTGACTTGGAAGTCATTGAAGAGGATGCTGTCTCTAGGGAGTCATCTGATGAGTTTATGAAAGATTACTCTGCAGGAAGTCGTTATGACCCGACGAGCATGACATTGAGGATGACACAACCCCATTCGAAATGGACACACAAATGGTTGGCGAGCTCTCAGGAGTGCATACAGGCTATGAAGTTCAACCACTTCCGCCTGTTCCTGAACATCAAGATTGGTCGGTAACGTATTAGTATGACTTTTTTTTTCCGTACGGGGGCGTATGGTGGGAGCACCCGGGTACTCCCAACATTCATATGACTTTTTTTTTTCTTTTTTTTTTCGTACGGGGGCATGCGGGGGCGTAGAGGTTCCTGTACAGATATTACCTGTGCGTTTCGTACGGAAAGGCCCCGTACGTGTACGTTCGGTAACGTAGATACGGATATAATGAAGTAGTGGTCATCGCAATTTCTTCCCCATGTTCTTTACTACTCCTTAGTACTCCAAAACAAACATTCCACGCATAGCGAGGGTATAGATATATAAGCTACGCTACAACATGTTATATCTCATCCGAAACATTTTATAATGTCTGCATATTCTACCCATAATAAATTCGGATCTCATCACACATCTAAACAAGCATCTCGTGCATAGGACGGGCATGCTTGCGTGAGTTAGGCTGCACCCTAAATTGACTTTGTGCAAAACATGACACAATATAATGTCCTATTTTAACGGATAACATGTTATTTGTTTCATTATTTTTTTTTCCTTGTCCGTTTTAGAAAAGAGAAAATACAACCTGACCTAGGCCCCACAAAACTCGGAGCGCAGTGAAATTCATGGCATACTTACATTATGATCCCAAATACACAAAATATGTGGATTTTGGAAGGGTCGATTTGATGTTTTGGGCATGGTTTGGGTCGCACTGCTGTACCTTTTCGGATGAGACAAGGTCATGGCCATCAGGAGAAATTGCGATTTGGTACTTTGCTGGTCACACATTACCATCCACAAATTGTGCAAGGACTTTTGTGAATGAATTTTCACCAATTGTCAAAGAAAATGCTTAAAAAGAAATAGGGCATTGGTGGTCAGGAAGGTACGTGGCTAATAGGGATTGAACCCAAGAACTCTTGAACGCCACTTGCATACCTTACCAACTTAGCTAGGCCACTATATCACTGTTCCTGGGTAGCACCACGACGTATGCGTATGGGGTGCGTACGTGTACATATGTGCATATATACGTACATGTTCGAAAATCCGCATACGCGTATGTGCTTTTTAAAATTTTAATATATATAATACATATATAATATATATAGTATATATAGTCAATATTAGTCAGTATAATATATATAATCAATATATAGTTAGTATTAGTCAAGGAGGAGGAGGAGGAGGAGGAAGATGGCAATGGGAAGGAGGAAGGTGGCGATGGGGAGGAGGAGGACGACGAGGAGGAAGAGGAGGAGGAGGAAGGTGGCGATGGGAAGGAGGAAGATGGCAAGGGGGAGGAGGAGGAGGAGGAGGAAGATAACAATGAGGAGGAGGGGGAGGAGGAGAAGGAGGATGGCAATGGGGAGGGGGAGGAGGATGGCGATGGGGAGGAGGAGGAGGATGGCGATGGGGAGGAGGAGGAGGATGGCCATGGGGAGGAGGAGGAGGATGGCAATGGAAAGGAGGAGGAGGATGGCGATGGGGAGAGGGGGGCTAGAAAACACTGGGGAGTGTCGTCTTCCTCCTCCCCCCCATCACCAGTTTCCTCCTCCTCCCCATCGTGATCTTCCTCCTCCTCCTCCTCCTCCTCCTCCTCCTCCTCCCCATTGCCATCTTCCTCCTCATCATCATCATCTCCATCTTTCTCCTACTCCTCTTCCCCATCGCCATCTTCTTTCTCCTCGTCCGCCTCCTCTGCGTCACCATCTTTCTCGTCGTCCTTCTCCTCCTCGCCATCTTCTTTCTCTTCTCAATCGCGATCTTCTTCCTATTTCTCCTCCTCCTCCTCTTTCTCCTCCTCCTCCTCCTCCTTCCTCCTCTCCTCCTTCCCCATCGCCATCTTCTTCCTACTCCTCCTCCTCCTCCCATAGCTGATCTTTCTCCCCCTTCTCCTCCTCCTGCTTGCCCTCCTCCTCCTCCTCCTCCTTCCGATCGTGATCTTCCTCCTCTTCCTCCTCCTACCCATCGTGATCTTCTTCCACCTCCTCCTCCTCCTCCTCGCGATCCGGTTCCTCCTCCTCACGATCTTGTTCCGCCCGATAGGTTGTGGTAGCAGGACGACGAAGAAGATCGGCTGGAGGAGGAGGAGGAGGAGGAGGAAGAAGATCATGATGGAAGGAGGAGGAGGAGGGAGAAAGAAGATCGCGATGGAGTAGGAGGAGTAGGAGGAGTAGGAGGAGGAGAATGATTGGTTGTGGGAGCAGGTGGAGGAAGAAGATCGGCTGGTGGCGGAGGAGGAGGAGGAACAGGAGGAACCATTTAGAACTTACCTTGATGGTGATGCCGATGACAATCGATGGCGATGGCTACTCCGCATGCGAGGCAATGGGTGATGGTGACAGCCGATGGCAATAGGCGATGTCAAAGCCCGATGGCGATAGGCGATGGGCGATGGCGACTCCTGGGGCGTGCCCACGACGGAACCCCCGACCGGACCTCTTCCCCGCGTTCCGCCAGACCCTGAACTGGGCGGACGGCGCACACCCTGGCCGGACCCCTTCCTCCCGTCACTCCCCCGACCTCCCCCAGTGTCGACAAATCCACCCCCGGGCCAAAAACGGGCCCAGAAATGGCCCGCAACGACCATGTATGCGGGCCCCATTTCTGTGTACGCGCGCACACGTCCGCGGTACGTATGCGCGTACGTGCACACACGTATGCACGTCCGCGGACCCCTCATACGTGTACGCCGTGCAACCTAACACTGTTCATTGCCAGCAGGGTGGGGGCTTTGTTAGGTCTCTTGACACTGTAAAAGGAACAGTTTCTGTCAGCGTGTGAGGTCCAGCCCTAAGTCTTGCAGGGTAGGATTGAGCTACTTGTCTTAGACCTGTGGAAGACTCCACCCTTCGTCTGAATTCCTGTGACACAGTGAGCCCCAAAAGACCCCATCTTGTCTTCATTGGATGGCATGAAATTCCCTGAAATGGATAGCCACACAAAAGACCAAACACAGGTGGTAAAGTGCAGCCTTCTAGCTTGGGGAACCACGTCCCGCACATTCGTCAATAATAGAGTTATAGGGCCTCGTTTGACACCACTTGAAGTCAAGGGTTGAAGGAAATTTCTTTGTTCGACCCCACCCTTACGTTGGCGCGGAGTTGTTTCTACGTTCCGGCTCTCAAGTGCCGCCCTCGAAACTCAAGTGCAGCCGGGGCAAATCGCACTTGAACTCAAGGTACCTCTCTGGGGAGCCTTGAGTTCAAGTGCGAGGGGATACCGCAAGCACTCCAAGCGGGGCTTTTTGTTTTTCTCCAGTAGGCGATCCTGGTCCAGGATTGGTCAAGCCGTGGAGTTCGGTTTCAAGTGCAGCCTGTTCACGGGTGTCCTCAAGTGTACATGGAACAATAAATCCAGTAAGTGTAAATTAATCACAATTTCTCATTTAGTGTGCACTTGAAACTCAAGTATTTTCAAGTGGTGAAGAACCAGGCTCATAGAGCTCTTCCTTTTTTCCTAAGCTATATTCTTCTCTCAAGTTCACGTTACTACCTATACGAGGAACCCCTGTCCTAATCAGTGGTGGTCAGGGAGGGCGGGGCCACTGGTCGGGTCCAGTTAACCGCAAAGGCTGGGCATTTTGCCAGTAACTGCACCTCCCATCAACTTCACTCTCTCCCATAGAGCAAAAACACCATCCAACACCCAAGAGCCTAGCGCAGTGGGTACGCCAATGAACTGTCGAAATACAGACCTGTGTTCGAATCCAGATGATGAAATTTGCTGAGTAAAATGAACTGCTAATGAGTTGCTTGGAGCCGGTCAGCTCAATCATAATATCTCAAGGCCGTTTCTTTGGAGTTCTATATTGGGAAAAAAAAAAAGCACCATCTAAGGCCACACACCATGCACAATCCACACACACAACCATCCGGTTGAGTTGCGGAAAGTCCTACGCAACAGTCTGGCACAATCATGCTTTTCCTTTCTTTGGAGTTGTATATTGGGAAAAAAAAGAAGAACAAAACATGACAGCGTACATGCACACTCAACACCCTATAGGCACAAAGGGGAGCGAGCCAATTATCTCAATTGGTTAGAACCAAGCCGATGCAAAGTAGCGAGCAGGGATTGAACCCACGACCTCCTTAATGACACGTGTATACCTAGCTAACTGAGCTAGGCGGGATGCAGTTGACAGCACGTTCAACAGATGAGGAGGATACTTTCCACTACCTTCTTCGCCCTGATATAACTTATGGTCGTTATAGCTGAAATTTAGACTGAAAGATACCCCAAACACAGCTATAATGACCGTACATTGTATTCGGGGGAAGAAGGTAGTTACATAGGGTCCTTTACAGGTTGACATCCGATCAAGCCTAAGAGTAAACATGTTACAAGGTCTGTGAGTGCACTCGGGGGCGCGTGTGCCTGTGTGTGCCCAGGCGTATGCGCATGAGTTACGATGAGTACGCTTTCAGGAAAGCAAACAGGCCGTGGATTGTTGTTGAATTATTGGATGGTAACACACGCTTCGGTTGCTGTGCGGATATTCGCGAGTATGTTTCTTTTTTCTTTTTTAAGGCTAATGACCTGTCGAATCTGGACCGGACAGCCTTTCAGGCCTTTTTTATTGTTTTTTTTTTTTTTTTTTTTTTTTTTTTTGAAGGCCAGTCACTGAGTTACACAGTGATCACCTGGAGGGAGATCTCACTAGTGTTACATACTCCAATGAGTATGGGCAGAACCAAGAATCAACCAATATAGGATGAGT